TAGTATCGCATCGCATGGCATGTATGGCAGGGGCTTGGCTTGGATTTCACTCCGCATCGGATTCAACTCCACGGAAAAAAAAAAAGAGCTTTCAAGAAGCTCATGCCCCCCCATTCCCTTCCCCCTCGCTCCTCCGTCTTTTCCGCCGCTCGCTCATTCTTTTATTTCGTCGTGCCTGTCGGAGCAGGCGCCGCTTGCATGCACCAACCAGCACAAGCGGCGAGGGGCGACAAAGCAAAAGAGGGGGGGGGGGCGGGCGATGGGGAGCGAACGTGTTTCAAGCCGGCTTGATAAAGTTTCGCAAAGCGTCTACCTGCTGCAACATCCTCCCCGCATCCCTCCTCAACCTCTCCCTCACAATCTCCGAATACGCTTTCCCGTCCAGCATTTCCTCTTGCTGCCGCTTGCCCTTGCTCTTTTGCGAGCCAGCCTGCGCCGCGTCGTCGTCGTCGACTTGGAGGTGTTGGAGGATGGAAGAAGCGCTCTTTTGCGCTTCGTCCAGGAACGTGCTCGACGTTGCGTTCGTCTCGCGCGAAAAAGAGGCCAGCAACGCGCTTCGCACTCTTCTCAAGGCATTCTTCGAGCTCATGCTCGCACCATCTAGCGCGTACAACGTTTGGCTGAGATGCAGCGCTACGGTGCCCTCGTTCAGCTCGATCCACAATGCGTGCATCTCCTCCTCCATTGCCCTCCGCGATGCCGACGAATGCGACGGCGAAAACTTTGCAAGCGCGGACGGATCCGCGGCCCCCATTCCCATGCCCACTCGCATCCTAGCAGATTCCGTCCTAGCCAAGCGCAAAGCCGAGATCTGCACCGAAAGCGCTCTGTCTAGCTGCATCTTCTTCTTCTTCTCCTCCTCCCGCGCCGTCGTCGTTACCGCTTCGGGTAGGATGTGCGATTGTTGCGCATAAAGCGCCGATAGACTCAACAGCGTCGATATGAGCGCTCGAGTGAGTGCGGGAGAAGGCGCGGCGTTGGCAGACGTGGGGCCGATGGCGTTGGCAGAGGTGGGCGCCGAGAACGTGGCAGAATCCGAAGAGGGAGCAAAAGGCACGCCATCCACGTCTCGACCTGCACCAGCCAAAGTCTCCTTTTGAGCAGCTTTGAAAGCGAGAGAAGAGAACCAGGATGAAGCGCTGTTGCTGTGCGACCCGTCTTGACGCGCATCGGCATCGAGAGCGAGTGCTGGTGCGACGGCGGCGGCGGCGGCATCAGCTGCATCCACTATAGCTGCGCCGGTGCCCGCGTCTCCGCCTGTGCTGGAGAAGGAAGCGGCACGATGAAACCATTCGTGCGCCTCGTTGGGCCTGCCGAGCAGAGCGTTGAGGTCGCCAATCTTTTTTGCGAGCCTGACCAGCGATGCGGGCGAGGATGCACCGACACCCGCGGCCATGCCTGCAGCTTGCCGTTGATGGGAGAGGACGTCGTAAATGCGGGTATAGGTGGCGAGCGCACCTTGAAGAGCTTGAGGCGTGCCCAGCCGCTCGCGAATGGAAGCCAATTTTCTCTCCAACACCACTGCCGTTTCGTCCACCTGGACGTTTACGTCCCTCGCTCCTGCCAGACGCAGCGCGACGATGTCCGGTAACCTGATTCCCTTTTCTTCGGCTACGCGAAGAGCGATGATCAAGTGTTGCTCTGCCAATCTCATCCCGTCTATGTTCTGCAACGCTTCGCTGATCTTTAGGGATTGTCGCGGGGAAGAAGGACCAAGAGATAGACTTCCAGGCGAAGATCTGTTCTCCCTACCTTGCTGCTCGAAAAATATGGCGGGTGAGATGCCGCCTCCCAACTCGTAAGCTGCCCAAGCAGCGCGTATAGCGTGTCTAGCGATCCAACCCAACCTGCCATCCGTGCCGCTCGTAGCATCGAAAGCGGTCCAGCTCTCTTCGTAAGCTTCTTCATTCCATCCTTGTTCGTCTTTATGAGGCAGCAGCGTGGAAGAGGAGGTCAAAGGCATGAGCTTGTACTCGATGTATTGATGCGTCAATTCGTAGCCCAATGCCAACGATCCTCCGATGGCCAACGCTCCTCCTACGATGATGCGCGCTATTTTGGAAAGCGTCAATACGAAATGAGTCAAGGGTTGTTGAAAGGAAGAAGCGAGAGCTGCTGCGTCGTTGCCGCGGTCTTGCTGCTGTCGATGTCGCCTGCTGGAGGTGTGCAGTGCGCGGGTCCGAGTGTGGGCATGGGCATGGGCATGGGCGTGGGCGTGGGCGTGGGCTCGATGAGGAGGGGACTGAGACGTGGCGCTGCTGCTGCCGCTGCCGCTGCTGATAGTGCGATGATGTCGGTGAATGTCACACCCGCTGACATCTCTGCTGCTGCTGATGTGCCTGATCGCAGCGTGAGCGATGGCGATGCTTCGACTCTGACTCGAGCCAGGCAGGAGAGCAATGTTCGATGTTCTCCCTGCTGCTGCTGCTGCTGCTGCTGCTGCTGCTGCTCCTCCTCCTCCCGACACTTCTGCTCCTGCTCCTGCTCCTGCTCCTGCTCCTGCTCCTGCTCCTGCTATCCATGCTATCCTTGCTACTGCTCGTCCGCCCAGACGTTGGCGCATGGCAGGTGTGACGGCTTGTGCAGACGATGCTCCAACTCCAGCTCCAGCTCCAGCTCCAGCTCCAGCTCCAGCTCGAGTCACAGTCACGCTCATCTTGTTTGCGCAATGGCCGCACTGCTCAACCCCGGCGCCACTCTAACGTGCGAACTTTCTAGACGATTGGAGCCGTGTCCGTGTGGAATTCTTTTGAAGCAGAAAAGCTGGATGGAGCTGCGAATGCGAATGCGAATGCGAATGCGAATGCGAATGCGAATGCGAATGCATGCCAGTGTGTCGTAGTCGCGAGCGTCGAGGTGGTGGTGCATGGGGCTTTCATCGAGCAGCGAGCGAGCGAGCGAGCGAGCGCTTTCATTAATTCGTTCAGGATTCATCGCGTGTGCGCACATGCTGGTGCACGCAGCCTGCCACCACCTCCTCCTCCTCCTCCTCCTCCTCTTCTTTTCGTTGGGCTGACCTCAGAGGCGCGCCTGCGAGTGCGTGCTGCATGCGCGCGCGGCCTTGTCGGGGTGGAGGGATATGTGCTGCTGCTGCTGCTGCTGCTGCGTCGATGTCGACGTGGGGGGGGGGGGCCGCGCAAGTGTGGCTCACGTGACACCATCTTTGCGGGCCACAATCAAGACAAGACGGATCCATCGTGAATTCATCTGTTATTGCGAGTCGTGGGATGTGACGCGCAAAGGGGCAGCGCTGCGCTGCTCTGCTGGGCTCACCGCATCACTCCACTCCACTCCACCACCCCACCACTCGCCCTTCGCTCGCTCGATCTCCCCAACTCCGCAAGCATTCGCACGCTGTCCCATCTCCCCACCCTCTCGATTTCCGCCTTTTGTCATCCATCCAGACGTGCACGCACCCCGGTCATTCGCAAGACACAGAACCGGCAAAGCACAGATCACGCGAACGGCACAAGTCCTCACGACAAGCACTATCCCCCCCTGCCCCCCCGGACATTTGCATACGTACTCGTGACTGGGACTACCTCGCGGGGCAAGGATACGTGCAACGCATACGCATCTCGAGTTGCGCCCAAGTTCGGAGACAGGCGCCACCGCAGTCGAAGTCGCAGTCGCACGACGCCGCTGGTACGCGCGGCGCTGTATCATGTCATCCGATCTAGATCGGTAAGTCACGTCGTCGTACCGCGCATACATTCGCACACCGCGCGTCCTTATCTTTCCCGTTGCTCTTTCACCCCCCTCTCGCAGTCAAATAGCGCAACTCTCACGTTGCGAACCGATCTCCGAAGCTCAAGTGCGAAGTTTGTGTTTGAAAGCGAGGGAGATCTTGGTAGAGGAGGCCAATGTGCAGCATGTGGATGCGCCCGTCACCATCTGTGGAGATATACATGGACAATTTTGGGACCTTGTGGAGCTTTTCAGGGTGGGCGGACCGTGTCCTCAGACGCAGTACTTGTTCATGGGTGAGGGCAGGCAGGCAGGCAGGGCCACACGAAGTGTGCTGTGCTGTGCTGCAACGTGTCACCTCCTCTTACCGACACGTCTTGCCCCTACGCCCTTTTCCTCCTCCCCCTTCCCCCCGCATGCCCCGCCCAACAGGCGACTTTGTAGATCGAGGATTCTACAGCGTAGAGACTTTTCTCCTCTTGCTGGCATACAAGGTGCGCTATCCAGATCGCATCACCCTGATTCGCGGCAATCACGAATCGCGACAGATCACGCAAGTGTACGGATTCTACGACGAGTGCACGAGAAAGTATGGCAGCGCAAATGTGTGGAGGTACTGCTGCGAAGTGTTCGATTACTTGGCGTTGGGCGCGGTGGTGGATGGGAGGGTGTTTTGCGTGCATGGTGGATTGAGCCCGAATTTAAAGACGATCGATGAGGTGCGTTGGCTTAACTGGGTCGTCCGGAGAGGGGGTGACGGGATGGGCAATCGCCGAAAGTGCGACTCCACTGTTGACTCTCTGTCACCCTTGCTCATCTGCCTGATACCCCCGCCCCCCCCCCCAATCCTGCCACTTTTGCAGATTCGATCCATCGATCGGAAACAAGAGGTGCCGCACGATGGACTCATGTGCGACTTGCTATGGTCCGATCCGGATGGTGAGGGGTTGTGGTGCACGAGCTGGGTTGCATGTTTGAGCGTCCCTTCCAGCTTGTTTACGCTCGTCTTGCGCACCCTGCACGCACGCTCCACCTTGCCCCAGACATTCAAGGATGGGGCATCTCGCCTCGCGGGGCAGGTTTCCTGTTCGGAGCGGACATTGCCACGCAATTTGCCCACACGAACGGTCTGGATCTGATAGCGCGGGCGCACCAGCTGGTCTTGGAGGGCTACAAGCTCATGTTTGATAACACCATCGTCACCGTATGGTCCGCACCCAATTATTGCTACAGGTGCGGAAATATCGCTAGCATACTCAAATTGGACCAGGCGCTCAATTCAAAGTACGAGACTTTTGATGCGGCTGCTCAAGAGTGAGTACGAAGCGACCAGCCAGCCAGCCAGCGAGCGCGCGCGCGAGAGAGAGAGAGAGAGAGAGAGAGAGAGGGAGAGGGAGCAAAGAGCGGTCAGGGACGCGCTTGGAGCATGGTGATGGTGCCCACATGAATGCTCATGCCGATGCATCACTCTGATGCGCCTACTCACTCGTCCGCCCTTTGCTGCCCGCCCGCCCAACAGATCACAAACCATACCCTCCAAACGGACATTGTCGGAATATTTGTGAGTTCACCAAGTCTCGCACGAACGGGAACTTGCCTCACGCGCATTTGTTCCACCCCAATCAATATCTGACCCTGCATGGAACTTTTTGATTACGCGTTGCTGTTGCCGTTCCCGGTTCTGTTTGTTTCCTTTTTTTTTGTTTTTTCTTCTGTTCCGACGGAACCCTTCTCTCTCATCCCCATCCTTGCGCTCCCCTCCCTCCCTTCCTCACGCAGCTTGTAACATTTCACTTGGCCCCCTTTTCCTGCGAATCGATGCTATATGGCGCACCGCTCCGCGCTTGGTGCTCAATGAAGGAGGATGAGTCGGATGAATGCGGGGACGGGGGCGGGGGCGGGGCCCCACAATTCCACTGCATGGCGACTGTCGACTTTGTGCCAATATGGATTGGCGCCCGGCCCGCAGTTTCCCCCCTTCCTCGGCGCGCTCGCGGTAGAATATGGGGGGAATAGGGGGGAATAGGGGGGGGGATATGGAGGGATGACGAAGCGCCGCGCGTTTTCGTCATTCGGGGTTGGGAGGTTGGCAATCGTCCGATCTTCATTGCTTTGTGAGACGAGGAGGGGGGGCTAGCCTACGGAACACGAATGCGCTGGCCTGGCCTGGCCTGGCCACGGCGGCCGCGGCGCCGCCATCGAGTGCCCCCCCACCCCCCCCCCCCCCCACGCGCGCGCGATCGAACGTCGAAACGCGGTTAGGGAAGAAAGCGAAGCGAAGCGCAGCACGACGATGCCCCCGCCCCCCATGGCACCGCACTCGTGACTTCCCCCGCACTTGATTGCCGCAATTCACGACCGGACCCCACGGCACGGGCACGGGCACGACCTGACTGAGGACTCGGACTCGCGATCCGATCCGGACTTCATTCTTGTGCAACGAACGCCATGCGCGCCATCAATCATCAACAGACGTGCATGCATGCGCGCCCCGAGTTGAGGATTTTTTTGCCAATATGTTTGTTGATTTCGCGATAGCGATCGCGATCGGGAAGCATCATATGCAGCGCATTGTGATTCATACGTTCTTCTTCGCATTCGCGATTCACGGCTTCACCTCATCGTGAGGTGAGTCTGTCTCTGCATGGGGCCCCCCCCCCCCCTCCCCCTCCCCTCGAGTCCGCTGCCGGCTATTGCGGGGGAGGAGGATGCGGCGGGTGGGGCGGAAAGAAGTTGGCGTGCGTGCGTGCGTGCGTGCGTGCGGGGTAATTTACGCGCAGAGGCTACGTACATTGCGGTGCATGACATGACATGACATGACATGACATGACATGGGTTGTTCGACTCAGACTGTGGCAAGCGGCAAGATGTGCATGGCATGGCATGGCATGGCATGGCATGGCATGACGTGACGTTGCTTGGCCTTTCTGTTTAGATCCCCTTTTCATTCTGATTCACGATTGCAGCACTCACTCACACTCACGACTGCTTTGCATCCACATTAACATCACGCAATCCACCTGCTGTGATTGATTGTGCTTGTCCCTTGTCCGCTGCAAAGCAAAGCAAACTACTACTGCACCTTGCAATTTCTTTCCACCTCATCGTTCACCCGCACCGCGCATTTCAAGCGTTGAATAGGTGCAGATCTGCCTCTGCCTCTGCCTCTGCCTCTGCCTCTGCTTTGCTTTGCTTTGCTTTGCTTTGCGGGGTTGGACAAGGCTGCTTAATTGCTGGCTGCTTCTGCTTGTTGCTTGTTGTGCGAGTGTGATGTGATGCACGACGCACGAGTGGGGGAGGGAAAGGGAGATGACGGATGCAGCATGTGAAATGGAGCAATTAAGAAGGCAGGCAGGCAGGCGCGGCGGGGGTGCGTGCGTGCGTGCACGCACATTCGATGGGGGGTTTCACACTTTTTTGTACCCAAAAAGTTTAAATTGTTGAGATGAGAGAGAGAGAGAGAGAGAGGGAGAGAGAGGGATCTTCTCGCGCCGTCTCGGGAATACGTGCATGTTCCCCCCTTCTCCCTCCCCTCCGCCCGCCTCGTCCAGCCAGCTCCCGCCTCCAATTCACGGATATCGACCACCCAAACCCCCCCCCTCCCGATCATGTCTCGTTCTGATGCTGGATTGCCCGCACCTGTGCTCAGGTTGAGACAAGGAAGCTACGAAGGCGTGTACTCTGCCGGCGCAGCATCATCATCATCATCAGTGCGCGTGCAAACCTTTCACTCCATCCCCTACGCTCGCTTCACCGCACGTTTTCAGCCCTTGACACCTCTTTCGAGCGCGAGCACGAGCGCGAGCACGAACGCGACGTCGTCGTCGTCGTTGTTGTTGGACGCCAAGAGCAGAAGGGCGATTTGTCCGCAAGGTGCGAGTCGATTGGAAAGGCTTACGGGTCCTTTGCCCAGCGCGACGCCTGGCTTGATGGAGGAAGAGGCTTGCGCGTTGCTCAGCGTATATCTGCCCGTTGACGTGTCCGTGTCCAGCAGAGGGAAAGGGGCAGGGGCAGCAGCAGCAGGCGGCAATGGCGCTGGCAGCAGCGGTAGGAACGTGATGCTGTTCTTTCATGGAGGCGCCTACGTCACTGGCGGATCAGAGGTGAGTCTGAGTCTGAGTAGGAGGGGTGCACTGCACTCTGACTGGACTCACGACTGCAATCTTGAATCGTGGAATTGCTTCAAGCGCGTGGCTTCCCTGCTTACATGCGAAACTCACGACACTCACGACACTCACGACTGGCGTGTATCATCCGGGCACGACACAGATCCCGTGGTACGATGCCACTGGGCTCGCGAGCACAGCCATGCCGGAGGAGGAGGGGTCAGAAAACATCATCATCGTAGCTTCTTACAGACTCGGAGCGCTCGGTTTCCTGTACGACGACGACGACGAGGAGGCGAAGAAAAGAATGGGCGCGGGAGCGGGAGCGGGGGCGGCGACGACGGCATTGGGAGTGGATGATTGCGTCAAGGCTTTGCAGTGGGTCAGGGATAATGCGCAGGCTTTGGGTGCGGATGCTAGCAAGATCACAGTGTTCGGACAGAGCGCTGGTGCTTTTACGATTCAGAGTGAGTTGTGATTGCGTGGAGAGAGAGAGCGCGCGTGAGGAAGAGGGCCGCCCCGCCGCGCGCTGACGAGGCGAGAGCAATGCCCAATATCACCATCGCGCCACTCACACTCCTGCCACGTCCACGCGCAGCACTGATGGACCATCCGCAAGCGCTGTTCGATCGCGCCATCTTGCAATCTTCGCCCGCATCGACGATCCTGACATCATCGCAAGCTTCCAAAGTCGCCCATGATCTCATCCGAGCACTACCACCCGGCTCATCGCCCAGCAACGCCAGCATGGCCGATCTGCTATCTGCGCAAGCCAAAGCTTCATCGATGAATGCCGCCGCGCTCAACCTCGTCTTTGCGCCCGTACTCGAAAGGGAAGCGGGTGGGAATGCGCATCAGCAGCAGCAGCAGGATCAGAGTGGTGGCAGCGGCAGCAGCGCGGCGGCGCCGGGGGGACGTGGGAAGAAGGCGCTGATCGGATGGAACAAGGAGGATGCGGCGGTGTTTGTGGATCTGAGATTGGAATCGTACGGTGTGCCGGCATGGGCGCGTCCAGCGATCGTCTGGGCATCGCAAGGCTTGGCGACGTATGCCAACTTTGCGCAGCCCAATCGACGATTGGCGAGCAGGTTGCGCGCAAAGGGTTGGGAGGTGACGCTGTACGAGTTCGATTGGAGACCTTTGCGCAGTCCTTGGAAGGCTGCGCATTGCGTGGAGCTGCCGCTGCTGTTTGGACATGAGCAGCAGGAGGCTTGGAAGAGCGCCCCGATGCTTGGCGATGAGGCTTGGAGGGATGTGCAGAGGAGAGGCGAGCGTTGGAAAGAGGCTTGGATCACTTTTGCTAATCATGGCCTCATCAACAACAACGCCTTTGAGAATTTCAGAATAGAATAGAATAGAATAGAATAGAATAGAATAGGGGGAGGCTTGATTGAGAGGAATCGAATGTCAATCTTGAATGTGCAATCCACAAGGACACCGCGCGCGCGCGCCGTCCATTCAATCATCACGATTTCTTCATCACGTCGCGGGTGATTTGATTGTGCGTGCTGGTGAAATGAAGACTCAGACTATATACCTATAGACAAGAATCGTGAAGAATCGTAT